ATAATAGTGTTGGCCACTTGAGGTAACTGTACCTAGTTCCCCAAAAGACAACAAACTGATGAAAAGATGGAACTGCATACCTTGTTCCCTCCCCTTTTCCAGGCACAGACCTCTTTCTTCATCATTCATGGCCGCTTGATAAGATAAGACTCTGAGTAAAGCTTGGATTTCATTAGAGAAGACAGAAACCAATTCTACTTTGGGACAGAATATAAGTAGCCCAGGTAAGGAGAAACCCCTCTCAAAGGCAAAGGCCCACTAAAATGGGCAGTTCTAAAATCTTACAGTTAAAGATGGAGAGACTGCATTCAGGATCTCCCTATAAATTAGTACTTGAGAGGCAATTATTCATACTGCTCTTTTCAAGAGAATCTTCTGAATGTTAATCATAACTTGGCTGCTACAAACTCTATACTGTGTTATAACTTGGCAACAGCAAACCTCTATTGAAACTCATTTTGCTTTCAATTACTAGTTTTAGGTGTGTTTACTGAAAGGGGAGTTGTTATAGAATACACACACAAATGAGTGCAGGCATGTGTGTGCGTACACACGCGTGCGTGTGTGTGTGTGTGTGTGTGTGTGTGTGTTTACCAAGGAAACCACTCAACTACTTTGGAAGGACATGGAATGAAGTGGCCAACAAAAATAAACGCTAACTCCAGCTCATGGCTACACTCAGTCTCTCATCTTGCAGCCCCCAACAGAGGCAGTTATTGCTTAAACAGAGGGTACTCATGGATTTAAAATGAATCTCTGTGGCCAGCAAGCCATAGTTTCTACGTACGTATATTCATGATGTCACAAGATCCCATTTACACATACACCTTTCTTACAGATCATCAAAGTTTCAGGGTAAATTAAATTTCACAAGCACAAATATTCATCAGCACCAGGTATTCTGCTAATAATTCTTTAGAAATACATATAAGGGTAAAATACAGTACAACTGAAGCACTTAAGGACTCAGAAGCTAGAAGAGGAATACATAACTTATAATGTGTGGAATGTGTGATAAAGACCACAAAACAGCCGCAAAAAGCTGTGCTTGTTTAAAGAAATACAGGAGTCTTCCCTTTGGTCATCCAGAAATAATTTCAAGAGCTGGAGTGTAGCTCAGCCACAGAGCATAGGAATAGCATACACAAAGCCATATGTCTCATCCTCATAACTAGAATGAAAGGAAGGGGGAGAGGCAGGGAGGGAGGGGGAGGGAGGGATGGAAGAAACAGGGAATGTGGGAGAAAGGAAGGAAGGATTAGCCAGTTGATTTCTTCAAAGCTTGGATGTTTCTAGATAATGAGAAGAATTTTGAACAGTCTGAATGGCTGGCTGGGTCAGTACAAGCTGCAGGCAGTGGTGTCTACAAAGAAGGAAAATGTCACTACATTACTATAGGGCCATGTACTGCATATGGGTTAGGTCTTACAAGCCAAGGGTGAAGCACTTGAGAATTGTGCTTGAACCATCCAGGACCCTGAATATAATGGGGAACCTTTGACATGAGAGTGGATATGGGTAGCTTAATCAGGAAAGTGCTTGCCACCTAAGCATAAGAATTTAAGATCAGATCCCTAGCCCTCACATGAAGAGCAGGACATGGTGGTACACAGTTGTAAACCCAGCAATGGATAAGAGGAGATAGGGTTCCTATGGCTCTCTGGCCAGCTAGTTTTGCTCAATTGATGAGTCCCCAATTGATTGAGAGAGACCCTGCCTCAGAAAACCAATAAGGAAGAAAGAATCAGAAGACTTCTGACACTGACTTCGAGGTTCTACAAGAATACACATATACCTGCACATACCTGCACACATGCACATTTATGGGCCCTCACACTCGAGCCCACACACACAGTCCACTTAAAAGATCTGTATTTGGCCCATGAAGAAGGACAATAAGTTAACCTCAGAGAGACTAATGCTGTAGTAGTCATCTAGAAGGCAAGGGATGTCACTTTGATTATGGTGCAAGGACTAAGGAGGCAGGAAGGTCTGAAATTGGTGCCTTAATCATGGTTTCTGGTACCTTGTTCAACTCACAAATCTGTGAAATGAGAAGTGTTAACAATTTACTGTACTAGAATTGTTCTCATCAAAGACAATGCCAGACAAAAACTGCCCTCCTCCCTCTAGCATATCTTCTTTTTATATTGCAGAGTAATTTTGTCAGCTGATTACATGTTTTAAACACAAATGGAAATTTCTAGCCAGTTTATGATGAGACCTTAATTGTAGAGCCTGAGATAGGTGCTCTGCTCCTAATACTTATCGCTAAATGTAGCAGTTTCAAGGCCTGCTTTGACTGCCATGGTCTGATTTAGCTTTAAGGTTTTCCCACACTAATTTACCTGTTTTCTGTAGTGCTAGGAAGATTTGCAATGCCTTTTTCCATGGCCACAGCATTCATTCTCCACCTTCAGCTTTTTTTGCAGGAGTTAGAGTGAACCTCCAAAGTCTCAAAAGTACAGAAACTTTCATGAGGTCATTTAAGAATAGAATTAATGAAAACTCCCATTTCTTAAAGGAATCCAAACACAAACACAGGCAACTTTGCTAGGATTGCTCAGATGCTTTGTGTGGATTTCTGTAGACACACAATCTTTGATTGGCTGCAAAGAATAAATCAGGGGCTCAGAAAAGGTGCATCAAATTCAGAGTTGAAAGAACTCCAGATAGCTTCTCCCAGTGAAAATGGAAAAGATTTGTCCTTTCTCTGACAGATTTGCTATAAGAGCTCAGATGGTTACATAATTAGAGAGCTGATGGGGTCTTAAATCCCTAGCCACCTCTTTATGAAGTTGCAGATCCAAATCTTCTTTCACTGGTTCTTCCTGGAGACATGATGTCTACATATGGAAGGGGTGCCCCTCTGACAACCTTTAAAACCTGTCACTGCATGAATAGTGAATTTAGCTTATGTGATTCGCCTCCAGATGTACAAGTCTAGAGCGTTTCCCTTCCTCAGAAATTTACAGTCTCTGGCTTGGACTGAAATTCCCTCTGTCAGATTCAACAGCCCCAGCAGAACTCACTCCCTAAGATACTCCATTGAGATGTGCCAAGAGAGGGCTCCAACTCACTAGCATTCTGTAGTATAAAAAGCAAAGGGGTGGGGCACAGGGGAGGGTTTGGAGAAAGGAAAATGGTATATTAAATATAGAAAAAATAAAAGAAATAATTTAAAAAAGAAACAGGCTAAAAATAGACTAGAAAAAATGGTGTGTGGGAGGTTGGGGGAGGGCAGAGAGCTCCTGGAAAGTGCTTGTCAGAAAAGCTTCAGCTCATCTGAGCAAAGACAGACTGCAGGTCAGGAATCAACAACAACAACAACAACAAAATTGGTGGCAAAGAGGGCTCTGGTTGCCACCTGACTAACCAGACTTAGGCTGGCAGACTAAGTCAAGAAAGCCAAGGTCACCCCCAAAACATAAGCAGTAGTAAGTGCTTGAGCTAGCAAATCTAGGAGTCTGTGGGAGTCTGATGCTTGGCAGCAAGCTATACTATATAAGGTAGAAACTGAGTGAAAGTGGTTGGGAGGGAAGAGCCAGAGAGAGGAGGAAAAGCATTTGAGAAAGGGAGCCTTTCTGGGACAAACTCAACCAGAAGTTGAGATTCTTTCACTTAGACTGTCTCCTTTCCCTCTAAGCTCCTTTTAACAAAAGTATTGTCAAGGAGGTGAGTGGGTGAGTGGGACATTAACATCATAAAATGATTTTTTTTTCTCGTAACAAAGGGAAAGACTCCTTTGCACTCCCACCCACCCCGGGCAGTTCCTGCAAAACTTCAAACCTGCAAGCATCATCACAAAACACAAATGTTCCTGAATTTACACACCACCCATCCATCCATCCATCCATCCACCCATCCATCCACTGATTTAGAACAAAAGCCATCCCTACATCTACCCAGCTCCCTTGCTGGGACCTCCTTATCATTTTATCTCAGTTGAGGACTGTTTTTTGTTGTTGTTGTTGTTGTTTTGTTGCTTTTTTTTTCAGGCTCCAGATTTAAACTGTACATACTGATGTCGAACATTAAGGCGAGTATTTTCATACTTTATACTTAATGTCACCACTTTTCTATTAACAGAAAGCTAAAAAACCCCATATTGATTGACTCTTCATTCTAAGGCCACAGGGGTGCATAGCACGTAGCCAGCTGCACCTCTCTGACACTCTCTATTAGCCTAAGATTTCATTGTGAGGACTTTAACTAGGGGTTTTTAAAGAAGCATTTCCAATGAGAATTTTCCCTTCACTGTGAAACCCAGTAAATACCAGGGTCCCCTTAGATGCTGGAGACCACGCCCTCCAGCACAATCCAGCTGCCTTTCCTGCTTTCCCTGGTGCTAACCAAGTGCATGCCACATGTCACCACTGTCAGTTGGCACTTCTCCCTCAGAGAAGCAAACTTTCTCGGAATCCCAGAGTATGGCTCGCTGGGTGTGGGGTGGAAGTGTTGGGGGATGGGACGGGAGAACAGGATAAGGGGGTGTGCTGTGTGAAAACCCCTCTGGCTGGTCAAGTCCATGGCCTCCAGAGGGGGCTAAGACATGGGTCTTCTTCCAAAAATAAGCTGCCAGGCCCAGAGAGCTGAGAGCCATCAGAACCCTGTGAAAGGAAAAAAGGAAAAAAAAAAAAAAAAAGAAAAAAGAAAAGAAAAGAAAGCAAAGCAATGTGCTGAGAAAGAAGCAAATAAGCCTGTGGCCAAACTTTCTCTTTGTAGCCTTCTACATCAAGAGGGTTTGATTTAAACCTTGGAGCCCTGGAGCAGAAGGTGCTTGGGTTCAGGCTCCAGGCACTGCATGATAATTATCTGTTCCTTGTACCCAGTCTGCAACCCCACTCCTCTTTACCCGCTCCTGGGACCACAAAAGCTGAGTTCAGAATAAACAAAGGGCGCCCCCACACCTCCCTGTGTTCTGAGCGAGGGGTTTCCGGAGACTGTTTCGAAGCTCCTCTATTTCCAGCCGGGGAAATACCTCCATCTCTAGCTCCTACCTGGAAATCCCCAGCTCTGCGGGACGCACAGCAGCAACAGCAGCATAACTTGAGGCAGCCACAGCATGGGTCTGAGTCCCAGGCTCCCCATGGCGAGCCGGCGCATTCCCTTGCTGGGCAGCATGAACAGCGCACTTAAGGGGCTGGAGGAAGCCAAGAGACAGAGGGGCTGTTGTAGTGAGCCAGAGCCGCTAAAGCCAGGCTGGAAAACTCCTCCTTGGCGGCCTCCTTTCCCTCCCTCCCGTCTGTGGCCTGCCCTCCTTCCTCCTCCTCCTCCCTGGAACACAGAGCAGTTCAGGACTCCCCGCCCCACCATTTGCCCAACCCCTCTTTTTTGTGCCACCCCTTCTTTCTGGAAACCCGGCTGTTCCCCCTTGGAGGTATCCAGCGAGAGGCCCTAGAAACCCATTACTTCCGAAAGCATCCTTTGCTTCATTTGTATGCCTCTCAGCTCTAACACACAAACTAGTGACTACAAGAACTCAGGGATCCTGGGCCCTTAGAATGAATCCAGGCGTGCTGAGCGCTGAAGTCCTCCCGTGTCACAGAGAAAAAGAGGCAATCTATGAGTTCAGAGTTGCCCTCTGAAACTGGACGGTTTGATACTCACGAATACTCCGGAAGTTCATTATTATTATTATGCCCACTGTACCTGAAAATAGGGCCACCCAGGAACTTGTTTCAGACAGAAGCAAAATTGGAAACAAGGTGTGTGATTACACCAGCGCCAAGGCACGCCCATACTGCAGGGGGGTGTTTCTCTTTTGTAAAGGGTTTGGCTTGCTGCAGGCCTGCTGTGCTGCTGCGGTTTAAGATGGGATTTAAGGGTCGGCTGAAAGGGAGCACAAGGCACAGGAAGTTCTCTGCCTACCCGCAACTTCACGGATTCAGTGGTAGTTTCCTGCAGCCAGATCTGTCCAGCTCCAGGGTTGTTCTCAGCCATCTTAGAACAGTAGGACCAGCCCAAAGCCTCCACCCAGTGGGCTACCACAACCTACATGCTAGCATCAGGATAAGGTTTCTAGGCTGCCCCCACAATGGATCTGTATTCTTTGAGGCATTTGTGGAAGACAATACTCAGCTACTTTGCCATTGTGTCACAGAGCCTTGTGACCAGACAGAAATGGTATCCACTGCAGAACTGCATCTTTCTCCACACCAAGATTGTCTTTTTGTTAGACCAAGGTCTTTGGGAGCAATGACCCAGAAGATTTTTAATTCGTTTATTCAAAAGGACCTTTCCCATTTCACAGTAAACCTCCAGACTTGGGTTTCCATATTACCCTCTCCAGAATTTGAGAAAACTTCTTTCCAAGTCCTTTGGAGCAAAATAATGGCTCTATTAGGCTGACATTTGTGATTTGGAGAAAGCAGGGTAACACAGAACAGTATGGGGAAGGCAGAGAAAAAAATGAATTGAAATTATTATTAAATCCTTTGTGCTGTTGAAATGTTTTGGCATGTGAGATTTTATTATTATTATTAGAAAAATATTGAAAATGTTTCTGAAAACACACAGCTGACAAGACAGTATGGACCTGAGATCTCAGCACTCAGGAGGCAGAGACAAGAGGATAATGAGTTTCAGGTCAGCCTGGGCTATATATGAACCCTAGGAAGGAAGAAAGTACCTTTACACCATTACCAGCAACACTAGCAAAATTGCATACAAGAAATTTTCAAGACACCTCAAGGGTATACAGACATCTGCCTGTCCTCTGAATAATTCCCTAACCCTTGGCAGAGTGGCAGGAAAAAACACAGACATCCCAGTCTGGTAGCCATGACAGTCATCTGGTAGCTATGACAGTCATCTGCAGTACCAAGAGGTAGAACTCAATAATAGTCTTGCCCCTTGGGCAATAGCAGAATGGGATACCATGAAGAACAAAAAGAATGGAAGCCTAATATTTACTCCCTCTTTCTTCCTTGAACATGTACACCCAGGGTCAGCACTAGAGGAGGACGTGACAGCCATCCATACATACTACAGGGAAGGAGATGCCGAAGAAAGTCAAAGTCAAGGCCAGCTCCTCTCTATTACATCCAGTCTTCCACATCTCTTCATTCTCCCATACTCTTAAACCAGATCTTTGGTTCATCCATTTCCATATACTCCCAGGATAAATGGATGGAAAGGAGAAATTTAAATGACTCACTTACCGTTCTGCAGAAAATGTGTTGTTATTGTGGGAAAAGCCAGGAACCTCTCCTTGGTTTTCATAATGTTCAGGTATACAAAATGATTCCAGGTTTTGTTTTGATACCCACAGCATTAACTCCAGTTGAAACAAATGGAAAACCAAGCACATGGCCATACTAAGAGTTTGTCATGTTATATTGGATTAATATTTGGCTAAATTTACTGGCCACATTTAACTCGGCAATAATATTTTCTGGGTGTAGTGTGTCAATTTCTTGCTAACTAACACAGTGTTTACTGCACAGGTCATAAAAATTTTCCTGTTAACTGATAGAGGGTTTTATCTTTTGATCTTTGTATATTTTTAATAAATATCCATGGCCAGATTCTTCAACTGAATACATCTGAGAAACAAATTGTTTATTGAATGCGACACAAAAAATAAAATCTGACATGTAATTGAAAATGAATGTCTTAGATTTCTCAGATATCAAATGACTTTCAAATTGTTGTATCAGTTCCTAAAATATTAATCTGTTATCTGTACTTATTACAATCAGTACCAAACAATACAGAAAGTAATGCTTACACAGGCAGCAAGTTGTATTGGACTTTCCAAGAATAGAGACTAGAAGGACAAGGTGATTTGACATGCATTTATTGGACCTGTGTTGAATGAATACAAGATTAGGGTGAGTTAGGTTAGTATTGTGCTTATTGATTAAAAACCTAGCTATGAGAGGGTGAAGGTGAGACTACCTTAAGTCAAGTACAAAGTAAATAAGGACAGTCTAAAAGTAAGAGGTGTTTACAATTTTCTGATTTAAAAAGACTTTTCTTCCTATGATACTTAGAATGACTCAACATAAGAAATAGATAGTATGTCCACTGTGGAGATGCAAAAGAAAACAGATTGTTGATATGTGTGTGTGTGTGTGTGTGTGTGTGTCTGTGTGTGTGTGTGTGTGTGTGTGTGTGTGTAGAAAGACAGACAATTTCAGAAACAATTGATTTGGTGTTTGCAGTGGACTCAAGAAAAAGTTTTATAAAGAACAAAGGGAGAATAGAAAAAAATTCAAGAAGGTAAATTTAAAAATAAAGAAGTAAAGAACTTTTGGTGATAGCTGTTTTTTGATTAGAAGCTGGTGTGGCTACCCTTACAACCAAAGTGGGCTGAATACTCTGAAAATGGACAACTTTTCTTCCACCCAAAAAAGAACTGAGTTTTCAGTGCAAATCACCGTCTTTCAACATCTGGAAAGACAGACAAGTCAGAGAACCACAGCTGAAATCTGAAATAGAAGACATGTTGCGGCTACAACTTAAATAACAAGTGGAAAACTTCCTGGGATCTTAGTGTGGAATAATATGAGAATAAAGAGCTCCTGGTGACTAGAGACATGGCAATTGACCTGCGCACTGCTATGGGCTTTATCTTCAGAAGTGCTAACAAAGCTTCATGATGACAGCCTAAGAAAGTCCCTTTCTGCTCTGAAAAGGGTAAGAGAAAACTGATCATTTGAAATATTCTAAGATGACTCTGTATAAAATGGAAAAGACTCAATCAACCACAGCTTTATTTCATCTAGGAAAGGGGGCATGTTCCTGCTTTCAGGTCTCTTGAACACAGCTTATATCACATATGAGAGGACTTAAAAAAAAAAAAAAGAAACACTCATGAAGGTTATAGCCCAGGGACAAAAGGATGGCAGCACAATGTGCATGGATTTCAGCTGAGCAAACAAACAAAACATGAGAAGGCTTTGGGAAGAACAAAGTCAAGAAAGGAGACAAAAATGGCAACTGATATTTTAAAAAAAGCACCCGGCACCAGTGGCCATAGCAAACATTGATCATGGTCCATTTTATACAGTCAGGTCCTTTCCATTTAAAGACTGACATTGGGACCACTCTTAGTCGAAACCACCCCTAGAACCCTGTTTTGTAGATTGCTTTATGTCTGCAGGAGAGAACATTCTTTGTAGTCTTCATTACATAGAAATAATTTCTATCATCATATAAGATAACAAATCATGGGATTAGCTTCAGGAGGAAATGGTAAAGATAGCAACTTCAGAATTCTGTCTACCATAGTCAGTTCAGTAAAGTACACAAGTTAAAAATGTGTGCTAATAGTTGTATTATGTAACCAATCTGCATATATTCTCAAATTTATACCTAAGAGACTAAGGAAGACTTAAAGAAAAAGAGACACATTGTCTCTATGAAAGAAGAGTGAAGATGAGTTGAAGCTTAATCCCAGTAGGGGTAGACTTTGATTTATTTTCCAAAACAACAACATTTGTAAACTTCTTTAACCACAGATCCCTCAAAGCCTTCCTTGTCTTAAATGTGGATACATAAATTATTACAGGTACATAATAGAACTTGACTTCCGAGTTGTAATTAGAGAGGTCAGCCCAGGTACCAGATAGATGGATACTTTTCATTAATCTCTAAAACAGAAGCTGTTGAGTGAATACCTCTTACTTTCCTCTTTGGCTATGACCTAGGAAATGATGGTTTTAAGTAGGGCTCAGAACAAGATAAGGCTTTTGTATAGACTGGGATGCAAAGTACTGATGTGGCACCATACAACCCAGACAATGCAGCACTACAAATGACAGATGCATTTTAAAGTGTGTGACTTATCCATAAGCCCCCCAGTTATACAAACTCAGTTGTCTATCACAAACTGGATATTGTTCAACTGCCCAAGCCATTAAACTGTGTGTGCACTCCATCATCAAATGGAAGAAGTATAGAAGATATCGGACTCCAGCATGCCTAGAAGGCACAAGTGAAATAATGAGGATCTAGGAGGCCAGAGGCACTGTTGCATAAGGAATTAGCTCCATGTTCATGGTCCCTACTTTCGTGACATAGATAAATTAACTGGCGATGAGAACCATAGGTATGGTTTAGGGGTGGTTCTAATGACTTTAAGGTTGCTTCCTGAAAACACATAATAGCAGCATTTACATGCCTATACAGCATTTCTGAATCACAGACATAAGAAGAAAGCCTCTCAATAAGCCT